AAAATATATGAACACACAATTCATAGAAAAGGAAACTCAATTGGTCGATAAATTCACAAAAAGATGCTCTTGTTTGCTAGTAAACAGGGAAATACAAATTAAACAATGAAATAGCAATTCACCACCATTTTACTGGCAAAAATAAAAGTCTGATAATACTGGCCAGGTGCAGTGGCTTGTGTCTGTAATCTCAGCACTCTGGGAGGTGGAGGCAGGAGGATCACTTGAGTTTAGGAGTTCATGACCAGCCTGAGCAAGTGTGAGACAACACCCCACACCCCACCCCCTCACCCCCCTACCCCCGTCTCTACTAAAAATAGAAAAACTAGCAGGCTTTGGGGTTGTGTGTCTGGCAACTGTAGTCCCAGCTATTCAGAAGCTAAGGCAAAAGGATCTTTTAAGCCCAAGAGTTGGAGGTTGTTGTGAGCTATGACACCACAGCACTCTATTCAGGGCAACAAAGTGAGACTCTGTCTCAAAAACAAACAAACAAATAAATAAAACAATTACTGTTCAGATACTTGGAACAGATACTAGAACAGAGCCAGAACCTGAGAAAGTCTTTGCCTCCCTAGAGTTTATGTTACCCCAGCATGGACAACAAATACATAAACAACTATGTAAATAACCTCGGTGTGGTGGAGGGTGGCACCTTCACAGGGGTAGGGGTGGAGGTGGGGGGGTGGGGGTGGGAGTGGGTGGGTCAGGGGAGGCTAGCTGAGCAGATTCATGTGAGCAGAGAGCTCAGCAGTGTGGAGCCAGCCACCAGGATCTCAGAAGGAAAGCCTGACAGGCCAAGGCCAAGTATAAAGTCCTCGAGGGGTAACAGCTGGCTTGGTTGCTTTGTGGAAGGAGTAGCAGGGGAATCCCAAGCCTCCATAAACAAAGAGCTGAGCTGCAGCAACTCAGTCTGGAGATCAGGCATGTGGGAGAGGGTGAGGAATCCTGTGAGGAGACCTGGGGTTAGAGGCAAAACGGGAACCAGGCAGAATGAGGGAAGGGAGTTTTTCAAGACGGAGAAGGCAGATAGGGAAAGTGAAGACCAGGAAAGGCTTTGCCTTTTTGCTTGTGAAAGGGTGGTTTCTGCCCTCAGTGAGCTGATGAAGACAAGAGTGAGGGGGGAAGTTTGAGAGGTTTCCACTAGTGACTCCCCCTCCCAACAAGGGAATATTGGCTTTTGGAAACCTACTAAATTAATTGACTTTTTCCTATCTAGACTTTACCTATTTTCTGTATTTTTTTTTTTTTTTTGTAGAGACAAAGTCTCATTTTATCGCCCTCAGTAGAGTGCCGGGGCGTCACACAGCTCACACAGTTTTGACGCTGAGGCAAAGGAAGCGCCTAAGCCTAGGAGTTGGAGGTTGCTGTGAGCTCTGAGACCATGGCATTCTACCTAGGGCAACAGCTTGAGCATTCTTTTGCCTCAACCTCCCAAGTATCTGGGACTATAAGAAGCCACTACACCCAGCCAGTTTTTCTGTTTTTGGTAGAGACAGGGTCTCACTCTTGCACAGCCTGGTCTTGAACTCCTGAACTCAAGCAATTCACCCACCTTAGCCTCCCAGAGTGCTAGGATTATAGGCATCAGCGACTGCATCCAGTCTACTTTTTATTTTTTTAAGTTAATTACCTTCTGATAATTACCTTCACACTTGATATCAGCCAGGAGACTGAGAAGTGATAAATTACTTTCAAATCACCAATTTTTATACATGTATATCATAATTTTCTAGCATATTAACTTTGGACATTATCTGTGGCTGCCTCTGTGATACAAGACAAATCAGCACACTTAGCACCAACCTTCTATTTTATTTTCTCCATATAAGTATATCAATACTTTATTTTCATTATCTTTTTTTTTTTTAGAGACAGAGTCTCACTTTATCACCCTTGGTAAATTGCTGTTACATCACAGCTCACAGCAACCTCCAGCTCCTGGGCTTAGGCGATTCTCTTGCTTCAGCCTCCAGAGTAGCTGGGAACACAGGCGTCTGCCACAATACCTGGCTATTTTTTTGTTGCAATTTGGCTGGGGCCAGGTTTCAACCCTCCACCCTCAGGGTATGGGGCTGGCACCCTACCCACTGAGCCACAGGCATGACCCTTATTTCATTATCTTTATAGGTTTATATACTATATCTATAGTTAATTTATTATTTTGTCACCTATGAACAGTACTTCTTGACTTTCCATTTTGTAAGGTAAAGGCATTAATAATCTCTTTCCTTCAGCTCTTTTCTAACCCCCTCTTCCCAATCAAATATTTTCAACGTAGTTGTAGTTTTACTATATGTGCTAATTTTGCATTCTGCTTTTTTTTTTAGACAGAATCTCACTCTGTCACCCTGGGTTGAGTGCTGTGGTGTCATAACTCACAGCAACTTCAAACTTTTGGGCTCAAGGGATCCTTTTGCCTCAGCCTCCCAAGTAGCTGCAACTACAGGCACCTGCCACAAACGCCAGCTATTTTGTTGTTATTGTTGTAGTTGTCGTTGTTTAGCAGGCCTGGGCTGGGTTAAAACCTGCCAGTCCTGGTGTATGTGGCTGGCAGCCTAACCACTGAGCTACGGGGCACTGAGCCTAAAAACTTTTTTTTTAATTTAGCTGTTTTGCTGCTTTTTTTTGAGACAGAGCCTCAAGCTGTCGTCCTGGGTACAGTGTCATGGCATCACAGCTCACAGCAACCTCTAACTCCTGGGCTCAAGCGAGTCTCCTGCCTCCACCTTGCAATTAGCTGGGACTACAGGCGCCCGCCACAATGCCTGGCTATTTTTTGGTTGCAGCCATCATTGTTGTTTGGCTGGCTGGATTCGAACCCGCCAGCTCAGGTGTATGTAGCTAGTGCCTTAGCTGCTTGAGCCACAGGCACAGAGCCTGTTTTTGCTTCTTATAGAAGCAGAGAGAATGGTAGTTACCAAATACTCAGGGCATATGTGGGGTTAATTTGGAAGAAATTGTCAAAGGATACAAAAATTTCAGTTAGCAGATGGAGTAAGTTCAAGAGCTCTATTGTACAACATGGTGACTATGTTTAATAACAATGTACTGTGTCATACACTTAAGAACTGTTAAGAGAGTATGTTTTAAATGTTCACACAACAAAAAATGGTGAGTATATATGAGGTAATTCACTATTTCAGAATTCTACAAAGTATACTTATAAGAAAATACCATGCTGGCTCAGCGCCTGTGGCTCAAGTGGCTAAGGCGCCAGCCATGTACACCCAAGGTGGCGGGTTCGAGTCCAGCCCGGGCCTGCCAAACAACAATGACGGCTGCAACCAAAAAATAGCCGGGCATTGTGGCGGGCGCCTGTGGTCCCAGCTACTTGGGAGGCGGAGGCAGGACACTCGCTTGAGCCCAGGAGTTGGAGGTTGCTGTGAGCTGAGATGCCATGGCACTCTACCCAGGGGGACAGCTTGAGGCTCCTGTCTCAAAAAAAAAAAAAAAGAAAAGAAAAGAAAAAGAAAATACCATGCTGTACACCATAAATATATACAAATTTTATTTGTCAGTCTCTCTGTCTCTCTTTTCTTTCTTTTGAGACTGGGTCTTGCTCTGTCACCTAGACTAGAGTGATCATAGCTCACTGCAACCTCAGACCCCTGTGCTCAAGTGAAGATCCTCCTGCTTAAGCCACACAAGTAGCTAGGACTATAGGCATGTGCTACCACATGTAGCTAAGTTTCCTAATTTTTTGTAGAGACGGGATCTCGCTATGTTGCTCAGGTTTGTCTCGAACTCCCTGGCCTCAGCCTACCAAAGTGCTAGGATCAGAGGGATGAGCTACCTCACCCAGCCCAAATTGTAGATTCATGTCTGCTAACATGACGTCTGGCACTGGAGGTAGAAAAATGAATAGGTCCTGCTGACCCCTAATTCAAAAATTTTGCTAATTATATAAAATTTATTCAGTTTCTATATCCTGGTTCAAGTAGACCTTAACATACTTAGAATTATCTGATCTAGGCTCCCGTCCATGCACAAGAATGCACAAGTTTTTCTTGGTCACATGTTGGATACTGTAGGTCTAAAAATTAGTCATTCTTCTGTATGGGTGGGAACCCAGACCAGATAGTTCTAGATCTAATAAGGCAATTTATATCCAAGTCAGGAAGCCCATGTTCTCCTCCCTCAGTCCTGGTCTTCAGCTCACTGCAGTCTGCCTTCTCCTATCTAGCATTGGGCCTTATGGAAATTGCCCTCATGAGCATCATGACCTCGTTTGTCCTGGGCTCAATTGCCATCTACCTGGAAGATGCTATCTACCTATACAAGAACACCCGCTGCCCCATCAAGAGGAAAACTCTGCTCTGGAGTAGCTCTGCACCTACGGTGAGAGAAGGCCCTGTAGCTTCCCTCTGGAAGGGACTGGAAAGGAGGCAGGTACCCTTTTGAGAATTCCTCTAAACTCAGCAATTCATGTCAGCCAAGAGTTGCCTGCCACTACCACCTTGGGGGGTTGTAATCTGATCTCTATTTGGAATTAGGACCCCTGGAAGGTCAACAGGTAAAGAGATGGAGTATTTGAATCCTGAGGGGTGCAGAGACAGCTGGAGAACCCACCCCACCCACCAGCAGTCCCACTCTGTACTCCTCTGCCACTGTATTGGTGTTAAAAGCAAACCTCCTTGCAAAGGCAGAGCATGATTCCTCAGAGTATAGGAGGGAAAGAATTTTTTTCCATAGGGTCATTATCAGCTCTACCTTTATGCTGTAGCCTTTAAACTTACTCCCACAGCCATTATATAGGTCCTTGGTTTGCTTTCCAACTGGCAACTCTTAATTTTTTTTCCTTTTTCTTTTCTTCTTTTTTGAGATGGGGTCTCACTCTATCACCCACACTGGACTACAGTGGTGTGATCATAGCTCACTACAGTCTTGAACTCCTGGGCTCAAGTGATCTACCACTCTCAGCCTTCCAAGTAGCTGGGGCTACAGGTACTCACCACCATGTCCTGCTAATTTTTTATTATTTTGTAGTAATGGGGTCTTGCTACATTGCCCAGGCTGATCTTGAACTCCTGACCTCATTGCCCAGGCTGATCTTGAACTCCTGACCTCAAATGATCCTCCCACCTCAGTCTTCTAAAGTGCGGAGATTACAGGTTTGAGTCACCATGCCCAGCCTCACACGGCAACTTTTAAGGAATGGTACCTCAGGCCAGGCACAGTGGCTCACATGTGTAACCTAGCAATCTGGGAGGCTGAGGCAGGTGGATTGCTTGAGCTCATGAGTTCAAGACCCACTTGAGCAACAGTGACACCCCTGTCTTAAAAATATCTGGGCATGGGCAGCACCTTTGGCTCAGTGAGTAGGGCACTGGCCCCATATACAGAGGGTGGTGGGTTCAAACCCAGCCCCGGCCAAATTGCAATAAGAAAATAGCCGGGCGTCGTAGCAGGCTCCTGTAGTCCCAGCCACTTGGGAGGCTGAGGCAAGAGAATCACCTAAGCCCAAGAGCTGGAGGTTGCTGTGAGCTGTGTGATGCTATGGCACTCTACCAAGGGTGATAAACTGAGACTGTGTCTCTACAATTAAAAAAAAAAAAGCTGGGCATTGTGTGGACACTTGTAGTCCTAGATACTTGGGAGGCAGAGACAAGAGGATTGTTTAAGCGCAAGAGTTTGAGATTGCTGTAAGCTATCATGTCATGGCACTCTACAAAGGGTTTCAAAGTAAGACTGTCTCAAAAAAAAAAAAAAGAAAAGAAAAGAAAAAAAAGGAATGGTGACTCAAATGTATAGGTTTTGCTTCCTTGAGCCCTTGTCACAAAAGGTTTGAATGGTCCTCCTCCCTTCCTCCCTCCTCAACTGCTCCTTGCTCCCTTCCAAGCAGGTAGTGTCTGTATTCTGCTACTTTGGTCTCTGGATTCCTCGTTCCCTCATGCTTGTGGAAATGGCCATAACCTCGTGAGTATCCTGGACTACCCCCACCTCTGGGCTCAGTATCCTCTGGGGTCTCCTGTTTCCCACTAACTAGGACTCCAGAGTCCATGTCTTTAATCCCAGTTGATCATGAATCTAGCCCCTCCCAATTTGTGCTAATACAGAGCTCTATTCAGGGAATGCCTTATTTTGTCACATTGCTTAGTCATCTCTTTATTCCCATAGTTCCAAATTTCCCTCATCTCCTGTCTTCTGGACCCTGTCCTCTCTCTCTCTCTCAGGACATCCAGAATGCCCAGCCCCTATCATCCGCCCCTCAGTATGCCCCACTTCTTCCTGCAGCCTTTCTCTCTTTGATAGCAAAGTGATGTCCCTCAGCTGGCACCCCCACCATGTGCTCACAGTCCCACTTCTCTCCCCACCCTAGGTTTTATGCCATATGTTTTTACCTCCTGATGCTGGTCATGGTGGAGGGCTTTGGTGGGAAGGAGGCTGTGCTGAGGACACTGAGGGACACTCCAATGAGGATCCACACAGGCCCCTGCTGCTGTTGCTGCCCCTGCTGCCCACAGATTGTGCTCACCAGGTAGGGGGAAGAAGGAGCACCCTAGAGGCATAGGCTGGTAGTCTCTTCTTGCCCTCTCCTAAGAGCCTCTTCTAGCTCTCTATCCCTGCTTTAAGACTGGAAATTAAGCTCAAATGGGCAAAGCCATGATGAAAGGGTGATCATCCCACAGCCAGGACCCACACATGGGCATCAATCCAGGAGAGACTGAGAAAGGAGAACTCCTAAGTGCCCATCACTTACGCAGTGAGTTTAATTAAGTAAGCCACATAGGGAAAACTAGACTTTGGGCCATTTGTTTCCCTCTTCTGCCCATTGTGGTGAATGAGGCTGAGGCCAACACTCTGAGAGCTCTTGCTCAAAAGGCAGCATTCTGGTCTAGGGGGGAGTGAGAGACAAAGCAGGTTCCCAATGCTCTCAACATTCTGGCTTCTTCCTGTGCTCCCATCCATTTAACCATTTTTGTGTCTACAAAGGCAGCTAAGCCTCAGAACCAAGTGAGGGAGCCAAAAGGTCTTCTTGGGGTGGGTGGTGTGGGGGTCAGTGTTCTTAATTCCCTTCTCTCCTTAGGAAGAAACTTCGGTTGCTGATGTTAGGCCCATTCCAATATGCCTTCTTCAAGATAACGCTGGTCCTGGTGGGCTTGTTTCTCATCCCTGATGGCATCTATGACCCAGCAGATGTAAGCCAGGAGTAAGGGGCAGCAAAGTCCAAAACCCTTGGTAAAGGGCCCCACAGATAGGATGGCTGTGGAAGAGTAGAGGCTTAGTGACTCCAGTGGGGAGAGACAAAAGTGGAATAGGCCAAGACACTGGGTTTTTTTTTTATTACCTTACCCACATGGAAGAAGAGAGATAAAGGAGAGGGCTTGCCCACCTCACTGACTACTTTCTGGTCTGCCATCAGATTTCTGAGAAGAGCACAGCTCTATGGATTAATGTTTTTCTTGGTGTGTCCACCCTGTTGGCTCTCTGGACCCTGGGCATCCTTTTCCGTCAAGCCAAGCTGCACCTGGGTGAGCAGAATATAGGAGGAAAATTTGTTCTATTCCAGGTAACTATACCATGGGAGAGAAAAGATGTTTAATAATAGATTTTTTAAAAAGAAAAAACAGATTGGGGTTGGGAAGTGAATAAAGGGTAAAAGTGGGTCTGGGAATCTTTCTCTTAAGCCTCAGGTTTTTCCCTTAAGATCTGGAAAATTATCCTTGCCCTTTTTACTTTTTTGCCTTTCTGTGCTGTAATAGTTTCCCAGGGCTGCCATGATAAAACACCACAAACCAGGTGGCTTAAAGCAACAGAAATTTATTGTCTCACGGTTCTGGAGGCTGAAAGTCCAAAATCAAGGTGTCAGCAGGGCCACGCTCCTTCTGAAACCTAAAGAGGAATTTCCTTCCTTGCCTCTTCCTAGTTACTGGTGTTTGCCAGGAATTCTTGGCATTCCTTAGCCAGCATTGGCATCAGTCCAGTTTCTGCTTCCATTGTTACATAATGTTCTCTCTTCAGGGTGTCCGTGTCTCTGTGTCACTTCTCCTATTTTTATGACCCCAGCCATGTTGGATTAAGGGCCCACACTATTCCATTATAACCTTAACTAGTTATATCTACAACATGTTTCTAAATATGGTCACATTCTGAAGTAGTGGGGGTCAGGACTTAAACATATTTGGGGGCCATAATTCAACCTATAATGTGTTTGTTATCAAATCTTCGTAAATTCTTCTACCCTTGCCTTTTCCTTTACTTTTCTACCTATTAGTTCTTAAAATTCTATAATCCATCAACCATCAGCAGCATTATCATAACTGCAACTATTCACTACCTACACCATATACTAGGCACTTTTCATGTATTACATTTAAATTCTCACAATAATCTAGGAGTCATTATTATTTCCATTTTACAAGGGAGGAAACAGAGACTAGAGATGTTCTGAGGCTTAATCAAAGGCACATAAACGATGGGACTAGAATTTACAGCCACATTCCTTCTCATCACACCGCCTCTTCATCTTCACACTTCTGAAAATTCTTTCAAAGGCAAGTTTGTCCACCTATGCTTTGCATTCTCTAAGCCCAAGATGACTTTTCTACCAAATGTAATGACTTATAAATACAATCTTGTTTTCCTTCTCTCTCCATTCTGTCTCCTCATTGGGTTCTTTGTTCTCTGTTCTTTGTAGTTAACAGAGTGATTTCACATGCATTCGTATTTAATTTAAGCAGAAGTTTCTCAAACGTTAATATCCAGGCATACAGTAGGTAGAACTGAAGAGGCTGTGGGAAAAGAGAAGGAAGTTCCTGATATGACATCAGGGAGTAAGGGGTAGAAAGGATCTGGGTCTCAGAAGCACTTAAGGTCAGGACAAAATGATAAGAGCCTTGTGATTGCCAAGCCTGCCAATAATTATTGTGGGAGAAGGCTGGACAAGCCAAGCCTGCCTTGAAGAAGTTGATGTTTCAGCAGTGTGCTCAGGGAGGCCAATACTAAGATAAACGGTGCTTTGGGGGGCCCCTGCAGAGATCTTCTCTTCCTTCCTTCTTTTCTTCTTTATTGTAGCAAAATACACTTAACATTCACACTGTTGTGCAACCATCACCATCCTCCATCTTCAGAATTTCTTTCATCTTGTAAAACTGAAACTCTATATCCACTAAACACTAATTCCCTTTACCCCCTGCCCCAGACCCTGGCATAGCAGAGTTGTCAAAGGGTACTTTTCCTAGGTTCAAGTGATCCTCCTGTCTCAGCCTTCCAACTACCCGAGACTGTAGGCAGCTGCCACAATGCCTGGCTATTTTTTAATTAATTAATTAATTAATTTTTTAGACAGAGCATCACTTTGTTGCCCTTGGTAGAGCGTGTAATGTCATAGCTCACAGCAACCTCAAACTCTTGGGCTCAAGCAATCCTGTGGTCTAAGCCTCCCAAGTAGGTGGGACTATAGACACCACAATGCCTGTCAAGTTTTTCTATTTTTAGTAGAGATGGGGATCTCACTCTTGCTCAGGTTGGTCTCAAACTTGTGAGCTCAAGCAGTCCACCAACTTCTGCCTCCCAGAGTGCTAGGATCACAAGCATGAGCTACTGCGCCCAGCCAATTTTTCTATTTTTAGTAGAGATGAGATCTCGCTCTTGGTCAGGCTGCTCTTGAACTCCTGAGCTCAAGGGAGCCTCCTGCCTTGGCCTCCCAGAGTGCTAGCAATACAGGTGTGAGCTACCCATGCCTGGCCTAATTGTCCATTATTTTTGGAGCAGGAATCTCAGGTACTTGAGCTAGATGGCATTATTTTTCTCTAATCATCCACCTTTTTCATCCATCCATCAAGCACTCACTAGTAGCCATGGCTGAGATAGGGAAATGAAAACTAATCTCCTAAATCAGATCTTATTATTTCTTGTTAGCAATTTTGATAAAATATTGGGTAGGAGATTGTAATTTGCATAAAGATACAAACCCCACAAATTTTTAACCAAGTGTTGAGTCTCAATCCTCTATAAGTGTACAGATCTAATTCTGGGCAGCATCTGCACAGTGGAAGGACAAGGCCCACATCAGCACCACGGACAGCAAGTTCCAACCCACCCTTGCCTCTTTTCTGATTTGCAGGTGCTCCTCATCCTGACTGCCCTGCAGCCCTCCATTTTCTCAGTCTTGGCCAATGGTGGGCAGATTGCTTGTTCACCTCCCTTTTCCTCTAAAATCAGGTCTCAAGGTGAGCACATAAGAGCTCCTGTCCTGTTAGTGGAATGGGTGAGATAAAGGAGAGTCAGAAGAGAGGGCTTCAGAATAACGGTTAGAGCAGCCTAACTTCCACTCAGAATATTCAGAAAGAGACCTTCAAAAAAATCCAAGAAGAGGCTTTAAGGAGACTGTGACTTCTCTGATCATACAGAAAACTGCAACCCCACAGCTTGAGGTCAGCCCTGTACCCCAGGAAGCCATGGGTTCAATCTTCAGCTCCTGGGAAAGGAATGGGAAGGTTAAGAAACAGAAGTTAAGGCTGATTAAACACACTTAAGAAATAGCTTTAATGCTAGCCTCAGATCACAGAACATAAAGAGCCAAGTGGTGGTTCTGGTTCTACCATAAAATTTCTGTTACTTATCATGGTTTAGTATCTCTAGATTCTGGTTTGGGAATAAACTGGAGAAAGTGTTAGGGCTGCTAGTGAGATACCTCCTATATAACTTAGCATAACCTATATTATATTTCACCCTACCCTGTAGTAATGAATTGCCACCTCCTCATACTGGAGACTTTCTTGATGACTGTGCTGACAAGAATGTACTACAGAAAGAAAGACCACAAGGTTGGGTATGAAGCTTTCTCTTCTCCAGACCCAGACTTAAACATCAAAGCCTAAGGTGAACAGCTTAGACAACGAAAGAGATGCTATACTCATTAGGAGAGCACAGAATTTTTTCATTGTCTTTCAACCTTGACCAAATGGAGGATTGCCATTATCAGTTGGAAGATTACATCTGTCAAGATGAAGATAAACTATATACCATAGAATGGAATTGTTCTGGATCTTTCCTGGGAAAGGTATTACAAGATTTGCAATAAAAAAAATAAGATGAAGCCTGAAACTCTGTAACTGGGCACACTGTATTTGTAGGTACCACTATTAGTTCTTTAAAGCTTGTATATTGAAAGGTCACTCTGAGCTCTCTCAAAGCACATGAAATGGAGAAAGGTATACAGTAACATGTCTGGCGCATAGAAACAGGAGTAGAACTTGGCTAAGTAAAATAGCACCAGCCCCAGAGTCTTAAAGAAGCCAGGCTTCTGGAGAACAGACGGAAGGTGTTCTTTCCTTTACAGATGTGTCATTAAGGCTCTAATGACACTAAGCTTGGGGGAAGGCGTTATCTAGATCAGCCTCCCTTTGTAGGACAATGGCTCTTTGAGTTTTTTGTGCCAAGCTACAAAAGGAATCTCCCAGTAATATTGTCATGGAGCTTGATTTTGAGAAGAGAAATTAGGATGCAAAAACAAAGGAATTGAGAGTACAAGTAAGAGTACCAAGTGCACAAAATGTACCATACACATGTAGGCCAGGTCAAAAATGCAGGAAAAGTAACAATAGGTAAAACCACATTGCCTTTATTTGGGTAAATGACAAAAGCCAAGATAATGCTGAACAAATTAATAATACTCAGACAGGAAAATGAGAGGCTGAACCCTAATTGAAGAAAACTTCCCTGTGGACTCACACTGGTGATGGGGTGAACATTCATGCCAAGGCCAGTAGTTCTTTCCAAGACTCTTTTTTTCTTTTCAGGGTCCTCAATACAAACATCCCAACCCATCATGTTTCTGTGTTCAGAACAGTTAGTGTCTCCCAAAGAAGGGTTAGAAGGCTCACTTCAAACCTAAGGAACATAACTTGAGTCACCCTAATGTTAAACTTGGTGCTTTTGTTTTCTACCCCAATCTAAGTACAAACATAAAACTTAGGCAGACAGAAAATCTCTCTTCTAACTTTTCAAGAAAATTAACATTTAATAATATAATCCCAAGAATGTGTTCTGCTTATTTATTTGGAAAAATAGAAGCTAGGGACTACTCTTTATTCCATGACAATCTATGAGAGAAAACAAGAACAATTACTGTCATGACTTTGAAAAAAATAACCTTTAAAAATACTTATATTGGTAAGCTTAAAAAAATACTATTAGTTAAAAACATTGTTAAGGGAGCTTTTTTGTCTTACGTGTATGGTTTCAACTTCTGGCGAGAGTACATGCTGACAGAAAATCTAGAAGCTATGGCTTTTCAGGAATTAAAGAAAAGTAGCAAAATATAACTGATTGGGAAGGATTTTGGATATGCAATCTGGAATAGGATTAAGAAGGCAATAAGCTCCAGAAACTTAAGCTATCCGCAAATCGAGATAATCCAGAAAGGGACTAACAAAGCACTCAGAAGAACTATGTGGAGGGAGGGAATACCTAGAGACAGCCTGACCAGCTGTGTGCCAGAAGTAAAATAAGTATAACTCAGGTATAGCCTAAAGTTATTAGCAATCAAAAAAAGTCTCAATCTCCCTTACATTTTTTCTCCTCTTCAGGATTTTCAACTTTCTACATCCTTAATCTCTTTACCCATCTCTCTTTGGCTCTAGTTATCAGCAGCAGCTGTAACAATAAAAATGATCCATTTCTATTCCTCTAAAGTTTCAACCTCTATTCTTTAGAGCTCCTGAGTCTAGAGTATGGAAACAGCAAATGTTCTGCCCAGTCTACCTTAAGGTAACTATTGAACTGGCACCTACAGGATCTCTGTCCTACAGACAGAGGCTCTAAGATCAAGCAACTTTTAAGGCTCTCTCATATCTGCCACACTTGGCCCATCCAAATTGAATGCTCTCTTGTGCGGGATTCAGGGAAACAACTCCATACCTCAAACACAAGTATGGTTGTGGTGTACAGATCTCTAACTTCATTTAATTAGGCACAAAGGATCAACATCATTCTAACAGCTTCCTTCCTACACTCACCCTTGTCCAGCACCTAAGACTACATTTACTCCAAAGTATCTAACATGACACACCATAAACCGTTTTGCTTTCAATCAAAATTATTTGAAAACATACTGGTATAGAGAGACTGAGGCAGTAAAAGCTCATCAAAAGGGGTGAGAAATTCTTCCAAGAACCTATGTATTTACTGGCTCTAGCAGTCTTACAGACATTATCAGCCCAGAGGTCTCTCTCCAAGTGCAGGGCATACCAAAAGCCACCCACTAATAACAGAGGAGGAGGGCTCAAACATTTGGGACCCAGAAAATATGTTTAGGAGGAGTGACTGTGGAAGAAAACCACATTCTGAGCATTTTCCTGTCATCCAATTATACTTGGGCAATATGCACTTCAAGGGAAGGAGTAGGTGGGCTTCAGCATTGACTTTATTACCTCTATATACCAGGGAGAATCAAACAGAAACAAGCAGAATTCCCAAAGAAGGAAGACTGAAACAGAAAAGTTAAAATATAAGACTGTGGCTCGGCGCCTGTGGCTCAAGCGGCTAAGGCACCAGCCACATACACCTAAGGTGGCGGGTTCAAATCCCCAGCCCGGGCCTGCCAAACAACAATGATGGCTGCAACCGAAAAATGGCCAGGCGTTGCGGCAGGCGCCTGTAGTCCCAGCTACTTGGGAGGCTGAGGCAGGAGACTCGCTTGAGCCCAGGAGTTGGAGGTTGCTGTGAGCGTGATGCCATGGCACTCTACCCAGGGGGATAGCTTGAGGCTCCGTCTCAAAAAAAAAAAAAAAAAAATATATATATATATATATAAAAGACTGTATTATCACTTCCTGAGAAGAGTTAGAATGTAATTTTCATGGGCCATCAGGACAACAAGAAGTTTCCCCCTCTTTGTTCCTCTCCTCTGCTGTGCTCTGCCTCTCTGGGTGATTTGAGTTTTGAGAACCTAGGTAGTCCTGCCATGCAGGCAGGCAGGCAGTGATTCTAGCCTCTGACCCTCAGGAAGAACAGGTTTTATCAGAAAGTGTTTAGGAAGGGCACCATGAGATGCTCACAGTCCTAGCAAAGAGGCAAGAAAAGAGAAAATGTGGTTTTCTTAGATGAAAACACTAAAATCCACCCCCACAAGGGGCATTCATGAGTGATGGGGTGTGGGGCCTGGACATAAGCAATTGTTCTCTGATTCCAGCTACAGGATTATTGATGGTTGATAATCTGCTAGGTCATGTAGCTGAGAAGATAAGATGAGATTTAAAAATTAAATCATGCTTAACAGTAAATGTAAGCATCAGCATTCTTTCATTTAAAATTTAAGTGTTGAACCCCCCTGGGCAACCTAACAGGGCAGATGGGACATAACCACTAGGCATGTGTGAGTAAGAGGGAGAAAACCTACCATATTCTTGTCATGTGAGCCGGTGCTTTGTAGGATCGGTGGAGGGAAGTCCATGCCAGTTGTAGTTTTCAGAGGAAAAGAAACACTCCATGGGACACTGGTTCCAGTTAAGAACATTCTTAAGAGGGGTAGAGGTCAAGGCAAGGCTGTTGCTTTAGAAAAGAAGGTGTTTCCTTATGCTTTTGCCTCTGGGTTCTGTGCAATCTCTCTAACTTCAATATGGCTATGAGCAACATGGATTAACATCAAGTACAAACTGTAGATATTTACAAACTATTTTTTGTAAAAAGTTAGGTAATAGCACTGAAATAGGAGTGGCAGAGCCAGGGAATTACTCCCAGCAGGAAATGAATCTAAACAGACTTCACATAGGGTTGAGTATTGTCCCACTCCTCTCTTCAACACAGGAACCCTAAAAATGTTCCTTCCTTTAAAGGCAGATTATGGGAAAGAGAGTGACAAAAGCTCCCAAATAACTGGACAACAGAATTTTTCTGAGAAGATGAACACAGCAGAAAAACTGCAGTTGATGCCTCAAGGTCTGGTTCCATCCCCATCAGTGTCTTCATGGACCCCATTGGGTCCAATAAGAAACTCCTCAGGGAGTAAGAAAAGTTAGGCTCAGATCTCCTTCCCACAGCCACACTGACACATGTGCCAGCAGTATATCTAGGGGATTTGTGACTGTAATCAGCTTTTAGCTTTTTAAAAGGAAATCAAAATTATATTTCCCCCCAAATTACCCACCAGCATGGCTCATCAACTGAATGACTTGGTAAGCCACTTTGCTTTAGAACAAAAGGCAAATGCTTCACTGTATCAAGAAAAGGCCTCTGCATATTACACCACTTCCTTCTTCTGCCCACTCCTCAGGGGCAAAAAAATTAGTTCTATATACTATATTTGAAAGACTAATTTTTTAAAAATAAAAATGACAATTTCCCTGTCAAGATCACATCAACATAACAGTAAAACAAAGACCTTGGGAAGGGTAGATGGATGCAGAATAGGCCTCTAAGATATAGTCGGCCTTGTTCTTGGTGTGGGTGATTGATGTCTCTTGGAGGACAGACTATTTTTGTTCCCCCATTTCTAGGTCCTCTTGCTCCAATTGCCTTTCCTTTGTAGCTGTTCTTAAGTTTAGTGTTGGGATCACAATTTGAAATTCAACAGAGAGCTTCTGAAGGTGATGAGACAGAGGGAGGGGACAGGAAAGGAGGGATGAAAAATTAGTCTTCTTCATCCTCACTGATATCATAAGCTGCAGCCTTGTGCCTGGAGAGATTTGCTGGGGAGGAAGGTGGAGAAGTCTTGCCAGAGAAGGGCCATCGGAAGGAGGGGGAGGGGGAGCGTTCCCGAGTAGGGCTGCTGCTGGGACTCTGCTTTGGACTGATGGCCTGCAGCATCCGACCTTTTCCCTCTTTCAGCATATGTTTCTGGGAAGACCAAAAGTAAGAATTAGAAGAAATCTATGGGCCCTATTAAATCATCACTGGAGCACCTGAGACTTCAAATTATCATGACTGAATAAGCTACAGGAGGGACACAACTATAATTCTGAGCAATTTCCTCCCTAAAGTGGTTTATGCTATTCTATTTTATTTAAGGGTTCCTGCCTCCTACACATAGTCATCAAATTCTTCACTTCTAAGTCAAAGGAATTCTTTAGAAGGCTATTTAGTCTGTAGACCAGGTTCTAGGCAAAAACAAAGGAACTAATTCAGACAAAAGGGTACTTAGCCCTATTTTAGAGTTCTCAGATCCTTGCTAATGGCTAAGCAAGGTCTTATTTGCTTTGTTTTTTGTTTTGTTCGCAGTTTTTGACCAGGACTGGGTTTGAACCCACCACCTCCAGCATGTGGGACTGGCACCCTACCCTTTTGAACCACAGGCGCCACCCAAGGTCTTATTTGCTGAATCTTTTCTCTTTTTTTTTATCTTGAGACAGAGTCTCATCTCACTTTCACCCTCTGTAGAGTGCCATGGGGTCATAGCTCATAGTAACCTCAAACCTGTTCCTTAGCCTCCCAAGTAGCTGGGACTACAGGCACCCTCTACAATGCCCAGCTATTTTTAGAGACGGACTTGGAGTCGATATCTTGCTCAGGCTGGTCTCGAACCTGTGAGCTCAAGCAATCCACCCCACTTGGCCTCCCAGAATGCTAGGATTATAGGCGTGAGCCACCACCCTGGCTGAATCTTTCATTTAGTTTAAAAAGACTCTGCTGTGCCTCTAGGACAGAATCCTACTTTACCCAGGGATCCTGCAGCAGCTATTTGCAATGGAGGCAGCTTTCTTTTTACTGTTCTCTATTCTTTCCTCTCCTTTTATCTAAAATATATAATCTTTCTGTAAAGATTTTAAAGAACTTTCTGGAGATAGCTAAATGTAGTTCTGCCCAGATCAGGGGAATAGATTAGATAACCTTTTTTTGAGACAGAGTCTTACTTTATTGCCCTCAGTGAGTCCTGTGACATCTCAGCTCACAGCAATCTCAAACTCTTAGGATTATGCAATTCTTTTGCCTCAGCCTTTCAACTAGCTAGGACTACAGGCACCCACCACAACACCTGGCTTTTTTGTTGTTGTTTTTGAGACACAGCCTCAAGCTATCCCCCTGGGTAGAATGCTATGGCATCACAGCTCACAGCAACCTCCAACTCCTGAGCTTAAGTGGTTCTCCTGCCTCAGCCTCCCAAGTAGCTGGGACTACAGGCGCCAGCCACAACCCCCGGCTATTTTTTGGTTGTAGTTGTCATTGTTTGGCAGGCCCGGGCTGGATTAGAACCCGCCAGCTCTGGTGTATATGGCTAGTGCCTTAGCTGTTTGAGCTACAGGCACCAAGCCCACCCAGCTATTTTTTTGTTGTCGTTACAGTTGTCATCCTTGTTCGAATCTGGGCTGGATTCAAACCCACCAGCCTGGGTGTATGTGCCTAGCACCGTAACCACTGTGCTACAGGTGCTGGCCACATACATCAAGCTAGCCTAGATAACTTCTTAATGTTGATGTTCTTTTCCATCCAAGGGTTCTATAAATTTTTTTTTTTTTTTTAAGACAATGTCTTGCTCTGTTGCCTCAGCTAGGTACAATGGTGTCATCATAGCTCACTGCAACCTCCAATTCTTGGGCTCAAGCAATCCTCCTGCCTCAGCCTCCCAAGTAGTTGGGACTACAGGCATATACTACCACACCTGGCTAACTTTTCTATTTTTTGGTAGAGATGGGGTTGCACTTCTGCTCACGCTGGAATCTGAACTGCTGACCTCCAGCAATCCTCCCCCTACCTTAGCCTCTGAGAGTACTAGGATTATAGGCATGAGCCACTGCACCTGGCCAAAAAGTCTATAATTCTTTCCACAACATTGAAATTCTCTGAATTTCTCTGAAATTTTGAAACTATCCAGTGGGAATGAACATACTAGTGCTCCTTCTGGACCAAACATTTCCAGGAAACTTCCAATGAATTCTCGGGACTTCTCTTCCCATTTCTGAATGAGGTCAATGCTTTTTTCCTCCACCTTCTGAACAAATTCTTTCGACTTTTCCTCCACATCTTTCACTTTCTTCTTCACCTTGTCAACTCGCTCCTGCAAGTGGTATTTCTTCTCCTAGGGAAAGAAATAACTATTTTGAGAAATAAAATTCATTCTGACCTTTTCTACTAAGAAGAAAGAATAAACATGGCTCAAGAATTCCAGTGACATTCTTTTCAGACTTCAGAGTTGTGTTTTGCTTTACCCCATACTTTTTTTGCACAATAACTTATAAGACATGGTCTGAATGGTCATCTTATACAAAAGTATAATAATTCTATATTGTGGGAGTTCAGGTTAAATGTACAGTAATAGACAGACAAGCAGCCAAATGAAGTCAGATTTTTAAGATAAAACATAAATTTGGAACATAATCCAACATGACTCAAAGCTCATTCTAGGTAGAGATACAGAATCAGCAAATAGATCACCCCATAATATTGCCAAGAATAAATTGATTATAATATATTGAAAGTGGGAGTATTAGATCTTTTAATTTATTATACTTGATTTTTTCCCCCTCCTATCACTGACTTATTCTATAATTTTAGATGAGTTGTGTATTTTATTTTGTAGTACTTGGATGTCCCTTTACTCTTTGGACTTATCAACTATCTTAAAACTAAGGAAAAATCTATTTTTAAAAATGGAACACTGAACAGATATTTTATTTAAGAAAAAGATAAAGAGGGTGACGTCTGTGGTTCAGTGAGTAAGGCCGGTCCCATATACCAAGGGTGGCAGGTTTGAACCCAGCCCTGGCCAAACTGCAACAAAAAATAAACCAGGCATTGTAGCAGGTGCCTGTAGTCCCAGCTACTCAGGAGACTGAGGCAAGAGAATCGCCTAAGCCCAGGAGCTGGAGGTTGCTGTGAACTGTGATGCCACAGCACTCTCCTGAGGGCAACATAGTAAAAAAAAAGAAAGAAAAAGAAAAGAAACTGCTCTTGTTTTATTCTCCGTATAAAGAGGTTAACATAATGTTACCTATAAAGAGCCATTCGGGTGGCGCCTGTGGCTCAGGAGTAAGGTGCCAAGCCCATATGCCAGAGGTGGTGGGTTCAAACCCAGCCCTGGCCAAAAACTGCAAAAAAAAAAAAAAATATATATATATATATA